AATTTTGAGTCGTTTGTGCCCGTACTTCCTCCAACTTTGCTCTCACATATTGTTACTTACTTAGAACATATATCCACAGAGAGGCGGGCGCGGCTCCCGTAAATAATTAACAGAGATAACTTAATGGCTCGGTTAATCGGTAACTTGGTAATTCAGCAAAATTAAGTTCGGTGTATATGGGGTCGTTTTATCTAATCTTTGACGCTGCCGGCACATTTCACGTTCCCTTTCGTCGAGTGAAATTTGAAAGCAAATTAAACATATATACATGTAGATACATATGTACGCATGTATGTACAGTATTGTCGTGAAACTTAGGGTCAGGTACCTACTATTTTCTAATTCTTCCATTAAAGAAATGCTAAATTTTTTTGTTTATCATCAGATGTATTTCTGATTTCAGATGTATTCCATAGGCAAGTCTAAGTATAAATTACAGTGTTTTAAGGTAATTTTCGGTCTTCAACGTCACTTCTCTGAAAATGGGACGTTGAGATTGTTTCATACTTAAATTTGACCATTTTTGTACGTATTATTTGTACTTCTGCTTATGCTGTTCTATGATATGATGTAGTAGCTGAAATGTCTAGCGAATGTGTAAAAGACTTTGTTGTAGTATTAGTTGTCTGTATTATGTTTCTGCATAACAGTTTGGTAACCAGTTGATGGACAGTTACCTAATGACAGGTTATTATCCAGCAAAAGTCGAAGTAATCAGTGTTTGACGTGGATTAAGTCATCAGTCTTAACATTATTTAAGTGAAACATCTTTATAGACGCGGAATATTACGATTTTTTCTGTCACGAAAAAGCGTTAAATAAGGCGGCAGCGGCGAAGGGAGAAAAAGGTTGGCGGCAACGGAGAGAGGGCAACGGCTGTATTAGATGGATATAATGTGCAGCCGCGCGGAGAGTGGAGAGTCCGCTAGAGTCCCGACGGCGTGCGCTGTGCTCAGCTGTTGTTTTCATACCTCTGCTCTCCACGTGGCTGGGTATCATTGCCTTTATTTGCGGTCTAAAATCATAATTTGCAGTAAACCTGTGAAAACATGTATGCTGGGACACATAGTGTAAGTGGAACTTCAACGGACAAGTGGAAAAACAAATGCAACCGACAAGTGGAAAAACAAATGACAACGGAAAAGTGGAAAAACGAATCGCAACAAAATTTTTACTTGAAGTTTTACGGGCGGGTTTTCAAATTGGATAAGTATATTAACAATCTGTCCGTAAAACTTGACGTAGAAATTTTGTTTTTCCACTTGTCCGTTGAAGTTTCACTTCTACTACGTGTCCCAGCACACATTTTGTTTTTTGTTTGAGTGAAGTGTGATAAGCTTTCATGGCTATTTTAATAGTGTATCACTGCTACACCTACCACAAGTGCACTGATTGATCAAAAAGATTTAATATTAGATCACTTGAAGGTAGCATTTCCAGATAGGGCTTAATTTATATTGGTACCAAATAAATTGTAGCGTATTACCTCACTTTAGATATTACCAGGACATGAAAATATTTATTAGTGGTACAATAAGCATTTTATTTTGCTATGTTGAATATGGGTATTTATAGTATATTATTTCAAACAACAAATGTGCTTCCATACTTCTTGACAGCAGTGTATATTTCCACTATGTATACAAGAGTTAGTTCGTTGCTGGCTTTACTAAGTATCTGATATAAAATCCTTGATTAATTTCAAAGAATAATTCTCGCTCGAATTTAACCCTTCTTGTAATTCGGCAGAAGTTAAGTTGGATTAAATGTCTTCGCAAGAGTGCAATCAACTCCGCCAATGGCTGACGGTTGTAGCACCAGCTATTAATTAAAATATAATTCGTTAGTGCTTTCGACTTCTCGAATAACAGGAGCCTTGGCTAATGAAATCGACGAATGAGGAAGGAATAAGTGCGATCTAAACCCACACATAATCACTAAATTTAACTTCCCAACGTTTCATTGTGTTTTGACTTCAACTTACTGTCAGTGGCTCAGCTAGCGTACTATAAAAGCTGAGTCATTTTTAAAAATATTATTCATGCCTGATATATATTCATATCTTCACTTCCAAGGAGATTTAGTTCGGTTATCGGTTCTAGTTAATTGACTTTTAATTTGATCGCGTTTGTAGTAGGAAACTATTATTACAGTTACCTTCGAACAGGATTAATGAAATGATATTTTCAAATAATTATTGGTGGAAAAGAAAACGTTAGAAGCGTTCTGAAATGTGTTGTTACATGCGAATGATGAGAATACCGTGGATAGAGGTTAGAAATGAAGAGGTGTTACAAAAAACATGGAAGTCACTAAAAAATAGGCGAGATAGGTTAGTAGGACACCTTCTCAGGCATAAAGAACTAGTCAGAGACAGATGCAGAAACAGGAACAGCAGTAGAGATAGATCTAGATTAGATTACTGCTCACAAATAGTTAAGAATGTGGGATGTTCTAGTCTTAGGGAAATGTGAAGATTAGCTCAAAATAGGAAAGATCGGAGGTTCGAGTCCAACCAGTCTTAGGACTGACGATTTTATGATGATGATGGTGATTGTTTTTGCCAATATTATTTAAATCGGCGTAACCATGAACTGTACCGACGATACAAATGTTCAATGTTAATGTTAGGCATTAAAAATAATGAGACAAACGCTGCGGATTGCCACAAACGATCTGGATTAAGGCCGGTGCGTCGATAAGGATGTGTGATAGACGCTTCACCTATGTGACCTCGTTCATATTTCATCACACTCGCTTTTGATAGTTATCGAAGTGGTGCAGGTACTTGTGTTTAATTTTGCTTTCACAATTTATATATTTATATGTATGAAAAAACGCGTGTACGATCAATCTCGGTAGGTGACAAATGAAAGACGCTGTCGTTTTGACCCATCACCATGAATGTATGGAACTGGAACTCCGATAAGACGCAGATTGAAATAACAACCGGTATTAAGTCTGATAGGGATCGGATCGGACTCGCACCAGAGCAGAGGGTTGGTATCTCAATTCTTCGCCCAAGAGAGCCTTGTGGATAAACATGGTAAGAAACACTACTTTAATCAAAATGAACCAGTGGTAACCCCTACAGCGATGGGCCGACCGAATCAGACAAAATACACGTCGTTCATACATTCGCCAGTGTTTCTTGGCAAATTTTAATAAAATGTGTTAATTTCTATACTAGTATTTCTATAGAGCAGATAACAATGATGATATAGTGAAAGCGCACACATTGCCCTGCTCTGAACCTGAAGTGCCAATGTTGGCCCAATTCTTTATCAAGTACCTACCTAATTAATACTATTTATGTTAGTCTTCTGTAGTTGTATTAGGTATCATAAACCATATTTTAGTATTAGAAAAAATGTCGTGAACAGCTTTAAAGCATGTGATAGCTTCTAATTTTTGGTCAGAGTAACGTAAAAGTGCAATAACCTTTGATATGTTTCTTTCTAGATATCCTGGACTATTTGTATTCCCAATGTAGTGCACACTTTGCCTTACAATGCAATATTCTTACATTTTCACTAAAAATGCTTTCATTTCAACATTTTAATATTCAATGAGCGTAATGTTGGTACTTAAAATAATGATGCTCCTTATGAAATTCAGTATTCGTCCTCGCTCAAACATCATATTAAATTGGCAGAACACAGCATTCACGTTCTACAACACTAATAGTGTAACTATTCAAGAACAAAATGAGAGAAAACATCAGACGAATAAAAACCAATATTGCGAACGGATAAAGTAAAAGACGACCAATTACGTAGTATACGCCCGAAGCTGTGAAGATTTTCTAGCTGTATTACAACTGTGTATTGATTCAATCTTGATATCTACATTGCGATACATGCCGTAATGGGAGATATAATCGCGTTCTCGAACATATCGTATACAGAATTGAATTGACGCTATTCTGATTCAAGTTCAAAGGCTCTCGTCGGTTTCGAGTTGCTTCCTCACGTTTCGCTAGCAGAAAGGGCGAGATTCCTTAGTAGTAAGTCCTTCCTTAGTCCTTCCATCTCTGATGTTGGATGTGGATTGGCGACTTCTCTTGTGCAAGTTATATTTATGCCGGTGGGTACACGGAATGGAAAAGCTAAACCACTTCCTCCAACACCTGAATAAACACGGTATTAGAAAGAATAGGAGAACAGAGAACTCTATGGAAGTGAATAAGAAAAAGACGAGAAAGGTTGGTTGAACATCTTCTCAGGTATGAAGAACTAGTCAGAGACATATTAGAGGCAGAAACAAGAGTTAGGAGGGGTAGAGGTAGACCTAGATTAGATTACTGTTCGCAAATAGTTAAGGATGGGGACTGTTCTAGTTTTAGGGAAGTGCGAAGTTTAGCTAGTTAGGAAAGAGTGGAGGTACGTGTCCAACCAGTCTTAGGACTGATGACCCTATGATGATGATAGGAAACCTGCACACACGAAAAGATGCCTGCATTGCTTATCCAACTACCACCCAGGTCAAAATTATGATGACATTAGACTGAACGAGTTAGAAGGATCTGTGAACCGAAAAATCTCCACACCGAATTCGAACACTTAAATTCTGCCTTCGAGGCGAATGACTACAATATATCTACTATATGCTCCAAAGATCAAAGACCGAATTAACAAAGTCCTGAAGAGACGCGACATTAGAACCATCTTCAAAATTACGAAGATCTGGCAGACCACTAGATCCGCTATGCACAGAAGGGACCCTCTTTCAGGAGCCTACCGTATACCTTTTTCTTTTGGAAAGGCCTACATAGGAATCGCTAAAGGATCGATGGTAACGAGACAAAGCAAACTGCCGGGTAAGACACTCTGAAAAGTCTGCTGTGGCTGAAAACGTATTAAACAACGGCGACCACAAAATACTGTTTAAGACCTGCATATTTGTAATTTCGGTCAACGGCTATCAGGCATGATGGTCAGAGAGACCATCGAGAACGAAAAACATCTGTAGAATTTCAACAAGAAGGAGGAGTCCTTTAGACTCAATCGGATATGGAACCCGATCCTCAAGAACACCCGAATGGTATGGACCAGCATGCCACTGAACCAGAACAAGCCCCGTCCCCTATCCATCGGCAACTTGCGCAGGAGCAGTCGTCAATCCACATTCAGCATCGAAGATCTTTGAACAAGCTCGCCACTCGTGTTATAGTCGATGATATATAGGTCAACCTTCCGAATATTCATGTTGCAATGTTTACCTCAGCAGAACTTTATCAATATTATTCGTTTGTTGGCCATATGGGGTCCACTATCCCCGCCCGAATAGAAGAATAGTCGAATGGGAACTTTCCGTCAGACAATGTAAATTGGAACAGGGTTGAACGATCGGTTGCACTCTCTCTAAAAATGTTTGTATGTATTCATTCTAGCCAGCTATTATAATTGAAGTAGGTCTACACTCTTGTGTGTGTCGGGTGAAAGGCCTACTTCAGCCTCCTTTTAGGAATTATGGAAATGGGTGATGAGTGGGTAGTGGCTAGGAAGAGAAGAATAGTCAGGCTAAAGACAGGAAAAGAGTGAAAGAGTACTTGTTGGCTGCTTCTGCTTCAGAATTTGTATTTCCCTTGGCATCTAGGCATGACGGTGGATTTTACTGGATGAGAGTAGGTTCACGGGTCTAAACAACATAACTAAGTTTAATTTAATGTTTAAAGGGTCATTCTTTAACCAGTTTTAATTGCAGTATTAGTGTAAGTTATTAATTAATTCCTACAATAAGTGTAGATTTCGCGCGAATGTGAGTGCAAACAGTGCGGTAATATTTTCAAATCAGTACATATATGCTGTAGCCGGTTTTTCTGTATGTAAATTCTTGTGCAGCAAAATTTCAGTCCTTCACTATTCTACTGTTTTCATCTCATCCGCCTGATATCTCTCTTCAATGCCGTATCACCCACCCATTTCCAAGATTCCCAAAAGAGCTTAAAGTAGTTGGCTGGCTACAATCAGAACAAAAAGCTCGCGTTACAGAATGCAATACAGTCCATACGTATGTTTATTCCGATCCTGTGATGTGCTTTTGCGAATCTAAAAATAGAGAAAGGAAGAGAATCAAATGCTCAGGAGTGTTGCCTCTCTGTTTGATGTTTTTTGATTGACTCGTTAGTTGTGATCACGCAAACACCTCTAAATACCAAAGGAAAGTAAATATTTAATCGTTGATATTATCGAAAATAAACGATCGATAATTATTTTTTTTTTTACTATACGTTAACTCTACAACATATTTGAGCTTTATTAAAATGTTTCGAGTGGTTTATCTATAAGAAAAATAAAAACGGCATTTTTCTTATACCACGCATGTATGTAAAATTTTGATTTCTTTTTTGGAGTTTCAAAACTATCGATTATATTTTAACCAGACTCATTCTTAGGATCAACCAGAAATGAGCAAAAAAAAAACATTATAAAAAAACATTTTACGGACCAACTACCTCAAAGAGAGGTCCCACCTTCCTTAGTATCAAGGTGTGAAGATCGGTGGGACAGCGTACTGTATCAGTTAGATGGTGGGAAGAAAAGACCACCGAGACATAGTTGTCATCCACTCAGGTTGTGGCTAGCACGTATTTGTGCGTTGTATTAATAATAAAGCTTGTTGGCGTCCACTTTACAACTTTACTATTACAAACAATCAGCAAATAGTGAAGGTCCTCCTGTGATATTTTTTTAATTATATGAGCAAAATTACATTCCAGGCAGTATACCTACATAAAGGTTCATCTGATTAATGGACATTTTGTAGAAATTTCCCAGCACGAATCAGGCTATTGAGCACGAAACTTGGCCTTTACCCAGTCTTTCTATTCACGTAACAGCCACCCGTCTTGGCCGCCATCCGTTAGTCCTAAAAATAAGGTCCAGCCAACACCCACAAGTTCCACTATCTTCGTACACAAATAAACGAGACAAATTGTTGAAGTTCCTCCATTTATCGAGTTCAGCTCCAGAAAGACCATTAATAAGGGGCTACCGGATAAAATGGTAATAATTTATGGGCGAGAAATATAAAGACGGCGCGCCAAGCATTAAGAAACCATAAAACTGCCAAAGTTGGAGAATCAATTTATGACATGCAATAAACTTGTACTGTCACGCGACTTCTTTTAAGTTTTCAAGTCGTCTGAGATATGTGGACACAGAGCATTCATGTGTCTTTGTTACCCCACATACGTGCATGCATACATTCTAAAGGTTGTATGTACAGAGTGTTCCGAAAATTATTACTGACCTTTCATAATTTGAAAGAAGAAGACATTTTGAAAGTTATTCATCATCTAGCACAAAACCACAGGATCTTTAGATCCCCCTGTAAGAGAGGTATCAAGATCCGTATCAAAATTAACTCCAGGAGTGTCTTGGTCTTGGATTTGATTTGCTCATCACTACTTCTCCCCTCGCTATGTCACATAATACTTGTATAAGGGCCTTTCTCTACTAACTGGAAACTTGTCTATTGACAGTTGTCCCAACCCTATTTTTCTAGAAAATTAAAAATATAATATGTTAAGTCGATAGATAGTTATAATATAAATACATATAAACAAGAAACCATTGTACTATAATTTTCCCTTATTTTTCGAATTATAGACAATTTTGTAAAAAAATGCGGCTGTTGATAAAACAGTCCAGTGTTATAAATTTCCAGAGGACTGTTGCACAGAGGACTGTTATTTTTACGTAAAAAATGTCATATCACGTATCAGTTTAAATATTACTTTATAACACAGAAACAGCTATAAATTATCACACAGAGCAATTTTTTTGTTAAATTAATATAATTATAACACATAAAACACAGTAAAATAGACTTACCAGAGGAATTTTCACTCAACACTACAGAGACGTGGCTCCCACACAGACGCGGAGTTGTCACTGCGCAAAATGGCGGCGACTTGTTTAGCATGGCGACCGAGCAAACTTCACACTGTTAACGTTCCGTTTCACGCGAAATATAACCACAATAGTGTTTAATATTTTTGTGGAGCGGTATTCAAATTGTGACAGAGGACTGTTCAAAAATGTATGGACAAAATTCGAACACTCGTTTTTAGTACTAAAAAATTCTCTAAAATTATAATCGTTTTTTGTTCACATGCATTCAATATTCTTTATGTTCAAATTGGGTTTTAAGATTTTACATTTTTAAATACAAGTAATAAAAACCGAACCGAATCATACTCTACCCGGAATTAGGACATAACAGAGGACTGTTTTTTGGTGGCTTTTAGACCGAATTTATGAAATGATTATGATTCTAAATATTGATTAAGCTTGGCTCCTTAAAGAATAGGTTATATATTATGTGTTTCAATAAATAAAACTATGCATTAATATAGCCAAAGTAAAAAGAAATGCTTGGACCATGATTTTCCTGTTAGTAGAGAAAGGCCCATAAACGACCCCTAAATAAAAATAGTGTCGGTGAGAAATATTCACTCGAAAGTTCTTTTCAAAGAAAAATTCTTGCGTATAAGTATACGCAGAAATACAGTTTGTGATTTTGAGTATTGTGAGAGATGTTGAGTTCCTTAAAAGGAACATGCTTATCCCAAAATAACACTGTTTACACAAGTTTCCCTATGCTGTTATACGAGCTTCATCTTCGACGGACTTCTTACCACTGCGTAAATGTTTATTAACAGTATAATCCATTAACTTAAACTTTGATCTTTCGAGCGCTTACAGTAAAATTTACTTACGTACTTAGTTCAAAAAGTTCTTCAATATTACCCGTAAACGTTTTCAAGGCAAAAGGGCGGCCTACAGTTACAACCGCACGTGGGATAATTTTTCTTTAAAACATTCGAAGCGTATACACGTGTCCTCAGAAATACTGAAGCACATGAAACAAAAGGGGAACAAAAGTTCAACTAAACGCTCCATTTTAATTTTTGATATGAACTTCACGAAAATGAATAATCGTGAACTTTGAAGTTGTCGTTTTATTAAATATTGAAGGAACAGGCAAGAAAACGTCTAAAATAATTCGTTTTTGTTTTTCATTGCTTGTTGTTTCTATTTTAGACCGTTCAACAGCTACTACTTGTCCCGTTCTTGTTCTTTTAACTTCAATTTTTATGTTATTATCAACGAGATAATTATAATAACAATTTTTGAGTAAAAGGAAGCGTAGCTCGCCATCGTATACCATCATAATGAGCTAGGTATATAGCATCCATAATATCATATATTTCAGTCACTAATACAAAGTAGTAGTAGTTTAAAATTACAAGCTAACACCTACCACTCAGTTAATAGGTCAATAAGCAATAGTATAAATATTCAAGGAGATCTAGCAACCAATTACGAGAAGCGAGTCAAAAGTGATACAGGTAACCACTTTCACTTAACCTAACGGTATAAAATTATGATTGTCTGTCATTTTCTACGTTCCCCTGATGCATAATAAGGTAAGTAAATATTATTATTACTATAATATAATTTAATTAGCTGTTAATAAATTGGTAAATGTTTTCACGGCCAGTTGATGAACTGGTGCTGTTCTGAATCGAGTCTATAGGCCGACTAGGACATTCTGAAAAGCCTGCAGTGACCGAACATGCACTAAGCAACGGCGATCACAAAAATACTCTTTAATAACTGCAAATTACTAGCTTCGGTCAACAACTACCACAACAGGATGGACGGAGAGGTCATAGAGGTCCAAAAACATCTGGAGAACTTCAACAAGAAGGAGGAAACCCTTAGACTCAACCAGATCTAAAATCCGATCCTCAGGAACACCCCAACGATATCGATCGGCATGCCACGGTCACGGTATAAAGGTTTTATACAGTAGGTTCACCTTCCATCCGCGCCCATACGTCCCTCTCCTGCTGACGCTTCACCACTTCATCTACGGGATTTCCGCTAGGCAGAGACTGGGTTGTACAGAATATCATCGTAAAGCCCTAGTACAAACAAATTGTGTGTCTAAACAGCGGTAAAGCGATTGTACCGTTCTCGTATATGGCAGTTCAGCGTACATAAAGTTAGACCAAGTGGCATGAACCAGATGTTTAGACAACTGCTTGGTTCAAATTTTTCTATGGTTTTCCGGGAAATTTCGGAGGGACTGTCCGCCCACCAGCATTACTGGCTGGTGGGAATATAACAGCTAAA